GGGGAAGGGTCACAGCTGGATGGGGACAGGGGAACATCTGGGCTGGGGGCCTGCCAGCTGTAAGGGGGGGGGGCTGTCATGCAAACATCTGTTTTGGCATCATGGGTGAACATCTGTATTGAAAGGGGGGGGGCGGGTTGAGTGATTCCAAAAACCACAAAAATGGGATTTATAGGGTGAGGGATGCTCCAGCCAACAACTGGATTGTCCTGGCCGGAGGCTGGGAGGTGCCGGAGCCCTCGGCGAGCAGCCGGGTGTTGGGGACAGGGTCTCCCCGCGGCACCGGGTGGCAACCGAAGGTGTCGGTGGCTTCGGAACTCATTAACCAGGCGGTCAAGCCCGGGCGCTTCCTGAGCAGGGCTATTAAAGAGCAATAAGGAAAGGAACCCCGGGGGGACGTGGTGGATATGAAAGGGCCGATGCATAAATAGCCCAGGGATGCCGGGATTACACGGGATGACCGGCTTGGCCCTTCCTTTCCCTGGAAGCCCAGTTTGCCCTCCAAAATTATTCCCCTCCTTCCTTTGTAGGGGTTTGTGGCGGGTCTAGGTAGAGGGGAAAGGCAAAGGGGTGCCGGGATGATGGAGCTCCATGCGGGGTGTGAGCGTTGAGCCATGCACCCCCAAATATGAGGTGAGGAGCTTTGGGCAGGGGCTCGGCTTCACGGTGTGGGATGGGGAGGTGGAAGGAGGTACCACAGCCCATCTGGATCCCACCGGCGCCTGCGTTACGGAGGCCAACGCAGGCTGTCATCGATCCTGGCGCGAGCCCGCGGCCAAGCCGGGTAACGGAGCCACGGGGGAGATGGGCTCTGGCAGGAGCAGCAGTGAATATTTGCAACCACAGCCAGGCTGGAGCCATCACCCTTTTCCTGGGGCTGCCCGGGCTTGTGGGGTTGGGTTGGCGATGGCTCGGTGCCCTTGTGAAATTCCCCGCTCCCTCAACCGCCACAGAGAGACGGAAACCGGGGGGAAAAGTGTCTTTCCCCAGAGTCGAGCAGAAAACACGCCTTGTGCAAACAAGCCCAGCAGCCTGCGATGGGGAGCCCAGGGCTTTCCGCAAGCATCCGGGGAATGTCAGCTGAGAACGGGCACAGCTCACTCCTCCGATGAGCCACCAGTGAGAGCACTTATCCCACCTCCAGTGCTGCCTCTGTCTTCAGGGCAAACTGGTGAAAAAGAGCTGGTATCCTCCTTCCTCCCGGCACAATGGGTATCCTTGCAGGTCCCCAAGGTGAACGCCTTGTAGCCACCTGTCCTGCTGTGAGGACACTGTAAATAGTGGAGGGAGTGTTAAAACAATAAAATAAAATAACAGCTCCTGGCTGCCTGCCAGCTCCAATCACCTCCACCAAGCCCGATAGCCAGACCCGTAACTGCAAGCCCAGCCCTACAGCACTTGGAATAAATGGGACCCCCCCAAAAAAAACGACATTTAGGGGTTGAGCAGGGATGGGAGAGGGAATTTTGGAGGCAGTGGCAAGGCTAAAAAAAAGAGATTTCAAGCAAGGCACCGTTTTTACATCTCTTTTTATGCATGCAAAAGGCAGGCAGAGCTCATTGGGAAAAATAATCAGGGAAAGGGAATAGCCTGGGTTCCTCTTGGAGTCTCACCGATTGAATTAATCCTTGGCAAAAAGGCCTGGCACGGTGGCTGGATTTGGCCTCGTGAGACTCTTTGACCGCCTGGTTTCTCTTCCTCCGGCTGGACGTTGCCAGTAATCACATTAACGGCTGATTCCAGGCGACCTTTGCCGCTGCTGCCCGGGGTAATTGCACCATCCCACCGGGCTCTGAGCTTCCAGCCACCGGCGGGTCACAGGATGGTGAAGATGGAGACAGGAGCATCTGCCGGGGAGGAAGCCGAGAGCTGGGACCGTGCTCCTCCAACCGACACAAAACTCTTGTTGGAGGCAAAAAGCGGCATTTTTCAAATGCCGAGGCTTCACGAAAAGCCTCAGGGCAGGGGTGTCCCCACCACCAGACGCTGGGTGTCCCCATGGGGAGGGGCCTGCAGGGCTTTCAGGTTCTCCCCCAACACAGATGTATGAGGGATGAAGGCTGGGTCCCTCCTGCCTCAGGCTCTGCTGCTGCTCACCAGACCGGAGATGCCTTGCATGAAAAGTTTAATTACATCTAAAAGCTATTTATAACGGAAATGGAGTTAATTTCTCGTGTCCTTCTGACAACACCAGCCTACCAGGGTGGTGGACCTGGTTGAGCTTGCTCATGAGGAGGTGACATTTAGTGGCAACTTTCTCTTTTTTAACCAGATGGTCCCCCCGGGCTCACTTGCAGGCTTCTGCTACCCCAGCACCTGCCTTTGAGTCCTCAGATTTTTGTCAGAGACGGTGTTTTGTGAAGAAAGTCTCATCTCCTGAGGTCCGCTCTGATGGTGCCTCCATCCTTTTGCTGCGATCAACGTTCACCACAGTCAAACCGTTGCAGCTACCTGGGGTGAAAGCCCTGACAGAAGAATACAAGTCTCGGTGATGGACCTCTGTGTTGGAGAAATTGGTCAACCTCCATTGCCATGATGGGTCCCAGGCCCACATTTTTGGCCATTTTTGGTGATGAGTCCAACGCAGCTACTCTGCCAGGGCTCCAAGGCAGTGCCAGGAAATCTTGGCTTTGATGGGAATTCAGGCAAAAAAAGCCTTGGCTTTGCTCCAGATGTGAGCTGACCCGCAGTTCCTATGCATCAGCGTTTCTCAAGAAGGGTGTTTCAGCTCATTTTCCTTTCCAGACTGCTCTCCTAGAGCCCTGCGGACATCAGCAGAGGAGGAAGGGGTTGCTGAGCCTCTCCTCTCCCAGCACGTAGATGATTAACACTTCGATCTTCGCAGGCTTCCTTTCCTCTCGCCGGCACACCCTGATGTGCCTCAGGGACTCAAGGTCACTTTTGCTCATTGGTTTTCCTGGGAATCCTCAAGAATCAGTGCAGAGCACGGGGATCCAGGCCTGGGTGGTATCTTAGGCTCCAGCTGCTTCATCCATGACTTCAGCAGAAGGAAAGTGGTGGGTGCTTGGGCACAGGAGACCTTGTTTTTCTGTTGGTGAAACAGGTTGGGAAGGGAGATTTTGGGACTCATTTCTGGGAGTTTTAGGGGTGGGAAATGTCAGGGCATGAGGGGGGTCTCATGATGGAGGTTTCCAAGATGGGCCTTCGCACTTTGTAGCCATTGTTGAGAGGTCTTCTCCATCCCCACTGCTAAGAGGGTCTGCAAAGGGGGACGTCACCGACACTCACTGCCTCATCCTCACAAATAATTGCACTTTCTCCCTTCGAGGACAGAACTGGGGCCTAGAACAGGGACATCTCTGAGTTCTGCATGGTTGGGTGGAAATCAAACGCCTCCAGGTTTGCCACCATCTCTCATGCAGCTTCTTCCCCTCCTTCCCATGTCAGCAGATCACCCAGTGCTTTTGCGTTTTCACCCCTCTGTGGCTCTTCCCATCCCGGGAGAGCCCCGAGCTCCTGAGGCTCAGCACAGCGATGGCCATGTCAGTGTTCTCACCAACACACCTTTTCATAAACACCCATCCTTCCCATCCTCCGTGATGGGAGACCGTGGTATGGAGCAGAAGTGCAGCCCAGCATGGAGCTCCACCATCACAGTGCTGGGAGAACTGGGCTCTGCCAGCAGCCCCAGGGATGGGTGTAGGTGTCAGGTGAATATCAAAGGGTGCCCAAAAGCAGGCTCAGATCCCCATGAGGACCTGTAGGATCTGGCTATGTTGCCAGGTGCCCAAAGGGTGATGGAGGAGCATGCCATGTCCCTTCGGCTCTCCGCCTTCGTGCTCCTGTGCTTTCCAGAGGAAGGAATAAGGAGGCCAAAGTGCAGGAGACCTGCCGGTACCTTTGGTATTTTCCATCCGGGAAAGATTTAAAATAACTTCCCTCGACTCATTGCTGTTTCCTCGATAGCTTGTTTGTTTTGGCTGTTGGACCAGAGAGAGTTCTCCAGCTGGAGAGTTTCCCCTCTGGGAAACGATTGCCCCCAAGTTACAACCAGGGGTGAAGGGTGGAAATGTTGATGGAGATGCCTGCTTTTGGGCTACCACCATCCCAGCAGGACCACACACCCAAGTACATTCATAGGGTGACAACAGTTATTTTAAGGTTGAAAACCAGCATCTCAGGTATGAGTCAACCAGAGGAGCTCCACGATCACGGTCCATCCCTGTAAACCAGGGCCAAAGTGTCCCAACTTGCCACCACGTGCTGCCGCAGGAGCAGATTGTCACCGGTCTCATGGCCACCCAACACCTGGGTCTTACGGGTGGGTCGAGGCAGCACAAGGGCAAGACAGGCAAATTTCTCACTCGGTTGGGTGTGAGTCACCAGGAACCCAACAATTTTGTGCCCCTCAAATTTAATGCTTTGCATTAAAAACTACTTGTTGGTGCAACTTGTCGTTGCTTCCCCAGGAACCCCGTGCTCGGTTCTTCTGCTCTTGCAGCAAGTGATAAGGGATTTTGAGGGTGGTGAGTTCACTCGAGACTTCCAAGCCACGGCTCAAATCTCCCAGCTGGATGGAAGTACAAATTTTAGTCCGTGCAATTAGTCTGTGCCTTTCTGAAATGGGAATTTTGAGTCTCTCGCAGCTCTTTTTGCTCGTTAACACCATTAAATGCAATGCTGTTGACTCAGGATGTCCAACCCCTTGTCAAGGGCTGTGAGGGTGTGGTGGAGACCCTGGGAACTCCTGAGCAGCCAGAATAACACCCAGACATGAGGTCCCCATAGGGACCAAAACCTTCCAGGAATTAAAGCTCAGTGCATGGACCATTTGCTTCCCAGGACCATGAAAGGACCCACTCAACTCTTGAGCTGGTTCTCGTTTGCCTGAAACTGGGTCCATCACACCCAACCACTGCTGCAAATATTGAAGCCACCGTGTCCTGTTGCTTCTATTGTAAAGGCGACCAAACTGGACATTTATTTTG